TTTTCCAGTGGCAAAAATAGAATGTTTGAAGTCATTGGAGAGACATTGGAGCATGATTTCCCGAGCTGGATGGCGAAGATCTTGAGACAGCTGTCTAACCCTGGGCTGGTCATTGCTGTCATTTTGGTGATGGTGTATGTGCTCTCTTCCTTGTTCTTCCTGGCTCCTTTCAAGTTTTGGCATTTTCAGCTCCTCACTCCCCAAGGATCGTGCTGTAACCTAGCTAAATTCAGTGCTGATTACACAGTGGTGAGAGGCTAAAATTCATGAGCCATATTCTGATCCTACTGGATGTAATTCACAGCCATCTGCATCTGTCTTCACCTCCCCAGGATTATAAGATTTGTTCCCAAGTAACCAAAATAATTATCAGTAAACAACGAAAGCAAGGGAAACATAAATGCTAACTGCTAAATCTAATCAGCACATTGAGCTTCCCTCCTCAACCCGGCCCCATCTCTTGTTCCATAAAGCAGATGCCTATGAATACACAAAAATGATGAGCCTCCAACTTAATATTTCCTTTGGGAGCCCTGCAGGCTACATTTTAGGGCCAAAGTCTTAAGGGATATTACAAATAATCCTGTCCTTTTTGGTAGAAATCTGTGAATAACTGGTGTCCATGAAAACAGAATCAGAGGATAGACGGGTCTTGGAAAGGTCTCTTGGTTTACCCCTTGGAGTCAGAAGTGGTTGCTAAGAGAAACCTTGGCAGGAGATTTGTGTTCCCATGTACCTTTCATTGACTTCTGACTCTTAGCCACCACAGATAAACTTACATTCTAAACAAAAGTATATACATGCTGTGGAAGAGCCCAGAAAATATCCTAGCCCTTGCTTTCAGCTCCCAATCCTCTGCTACATAGAACGTGTGAGACTGCTACTAATCTCAGTCAAGGAGGGCAAGAATGAAACCACTCATAGCAACACTTTAGGAATCAACTTGATGCAAAAGGTTGAGTTTGATTAAAGAGAGGTAAAAAGCAGGCGATTTCAGGGAGAAAATGTCCAGTAGATTGAAGTAAGTGCGCCAGAATTCCGACCCAGTTGTTATCATTGTTATGGTCATTGTTGTCACAAGCCACACAAGGTAGTGAGGTCAGGGTCATCTTGTATTTTATAAATGAAGAAACTGACCTATAGGAACGAAATTTTTCTTAAATGAGAAAGATAGTACTATGATATTAGCCGGGCTTAAACTTAGATCCTTTTACAATAAATCCAATGCTTTCTCCTTTATGCCTTCTATGAGGGAGAGTTCATAATTGTAGGGATAATTAAACAGTGAAACAGATTACTACTATATATTACAGAACCTTGATCGTGGGGAGGTATTTAGGATCCGACAGTATATTTCTGACACAGATGGGTTAGAAAGCAACCTGCCGAATGCAGCATGTTTCACCAGATGGTCCTCGAAATGATTTTCTTTCCCCACATTTTCATGATACAGTGGCTTCTGGCATGCATTTAATAAGTATTCTGTGGCCATTAGTGGTACACATGAGGTTTGATTTGAAAAACATGCGCATCCCACATAAATGTCAGATTGTGCTACTATATTCTTAATTTAGGAGAGACAAAGGAGCCAGAGTTTGGATGCCGCTACCTGAAAGTCATCTCAGGAGCGAGGAAAGGAACTGACCCTGCCTTTAAGGCACCCTCCATACTGGACTCATTTCATTCTCACAGTAACCTCAGGAATTCAGCTTGGTTGGTCATATTATCACTTACATGTGGAAAAACTGTCCCAAACCAAGTGGCTAATCAGTAGAATTCAAACTCATTCCTACTTCCTCCATTATTTTTCAGCACTGAGCAGAGTTCAGGATTAGTAGCAACATCAGCAGGTCTGGAAGTCACTGGTTGGGGTGGTCTAGTCCCAGGGTCTGCATGCTTTTCTTAAAAGGCCACATAGTAGATATTCTAGACCACCAGATAGTAGCTATTCTAGGCCAAGACACAAAACTGAGAATATTGTGTATCTTACATAAGTACCTATCGGATCGCTGAAGGGTGGAGCAATCATTCTTAGTTCATGGGCCACGCAAAATGGTCTGGGAGCCAGATTTGACCTGGAGACCACAGTCTGCTAACTCTCGATGTGGACAGCCTGGAGAGCAACTGGCAGCGTGTGTAGGTCAAACGGAAGTCCTGAAAGGTTGATTTTAGCTCTGAGGTTCTGATTTAAACCGTAAATTTCAGTTTACTACTGGTATGATTTTTTCAAATGCTAAAGTCTCATCTTATACTTCATGGAGCTCATTCAATTGGCTTGGTTTTTTATTACCTGTAATTAGAAAATGTAGCAAGCATTTTGAATTTCCCCAGTGGATCATGTTAAATCAGCTTGGATGGTTTTCAGGTATCTGAGTGAGTTCTGGTTAGTTCTCGTAGGCAGTTTCATTCCTTTGGAGATTAGAAAATCATTTGCAAGGAATAAAAAAGCGATGAATAAATAGAAAACTCCAGAACTAGAAATGACTTGTAAGAGACCTTGGAGTTCATCTTCCAAATCCAGGAACTTTTCTAAGAAAAGCCTTATATTACATACATACACACGCACACTTATTGAGCACCTATTTCTTGCCAGAAATATTGCCTCAGATGTTCTCATGTATGTAATTTTAGCCACATTGCCCTCATTCATATATGAGATAAACAAACCCGGCTAAACCATAGCAATAATTACACTGCTAGCACCAGATGGCTCATAAAGACTGCTCTCTGGCACGTTGGTGAATGGAGGAAATGTTCATATCCAGTTATTTGTAACAAATAGCAACACAGGTTATTCTTTTCCCCCTGTCTTTTTCCCTTTGTTTGTTTGTTTTGCCTTTAGTGAAGATGAGCATATGTATTTTTGCACAGTTGTTTGGCTGGAATTTGCTCTTTCTAGAAATGTAAATGTCATCTAAAATCCAAGAATATTCCTTTATAAAATGTTTTCTTTTTGAGACAGGAAGAAGTACAAACTTATATCCTATGGGAAAAAAAATGCATCTTAATTAACTATGCCTGTGAGGATTATATTCTTAGTAATAAAGGCCAAGGGAGAAAATTTAAGGCAGAAAGTGATTTTGCTCTTCAGTCAACATATTCCTTAAACTTTAGGAGATTTTGCATTCTTTCGGATGCTAGTACTGTCGGTTTAAAATGTGACATTTAATTATCATTAAAATTGATATTAACCCATTTCCAAGAAGTTAATATTAGGCAGTGTGGTACAGAGCACAGGGCACTATGGACAAGCCATGAATTAGGGATTTGGGAGCCCAATTTCCCAGCTTCATCCCAGGCACTGTGTGATTCTGAGTACACCTCTTCACTGTTTTAGAGCTCAGTTTTTAATCAATGAAGTAAGAGGTATAGAAGCCATCAGGTGGTGAGGTGGTTAAGATGTTGGACTCCCACATGACTGACTAGGGTTCAAGTCCTGACCTGGAGGCTTTAGAACCATGCCAGGCGTGTGTGTGTGTATGTCCAAAGTCCCAGAAGAAAAATGAAGAAGAAGGAATTGTAGTGTGGCTATCCCCCATAGGGAGTGATTTCTCACTTACCCTCTCATTCTCTCTCTCTTTTTCTCTCTCTCTCTCCAGCAAGCGCATGCACCCTATGGTAAAAACCTAAAAAAAAAAAAAAAAAAAAGGTTTAGTGTAGAGGTTGACTTTTTTTTTTTTTTTAAATTGTCAGTGGGCACTTATGCTCACGAGGGAGAGAGAGAGAGAGGAAAGAGAGAAATCAACTCCCAATGGGATATGCTCATGCCACAATCCTTCCCCACCATTTCTCTATACCATAAGGTCTGGGCCCACATGCGCATGCATCTGGCATATTTTTCAGGTCACCAGGGTCTGGATTTGAACTGCCGTTGGTCGTATAGACTGACTCCCAATGCATAGCGTTTAATTCTCGTGCCGTTGAGCCAGTCCAGAGTAGAAAATGGCTTAATGTCTACGTCTTTGCTAACATTCTATGAGTTAGTTCATGTAAATTTAAGATTAATCATGAACAACTGAAAATGCCATTTTTTTTTTTTAAATTAAGTTTGACCATCTATTATCTGAATGCAACTGCTAAGGGCCAGAAGGCAGCAAATCTGGATCTAAAAAAGAAGATGAAACAGGTAGGATGTCATTTATTTCATAGAAATATTGTTTTTGTGAATGTCAAGTAACAGAAAACAGCAAGAAATCTAATTTTCTTCTCTTCTCCATTTTTTTTTTTTAACTGTGCAGCAAGCTTTGGAGAACAAATTGCGAAATAAGAAAATGGCAGCTGCACGAGCCGGTGAGAGATGTGTTTGTGTTTTTAATTTTTCTGTGAATGGGTGTTTTTTTTTTTTTTTTTTTTTTTTTTCTGTGTGTGTGTGTGTGTGTGTGTGTGTGTGTGTTTTCCTCCAAATGGAGCATTTGATGCCAAATGACATTATTACCATAAGTGAGCAGGTCTATAGTCCTTTTTGTCTACCTGTTTGGTCCTTTCCTGGAATTACACCCAGGGGGTTTGGCTGTTTACCAATCAGAAAAAAAAAAAGGAAGAAAAATATAAAAACATAAACTTAACAGTCGTGGTAAAAAAAGTGACCTTGAAAACTGCCAGATGATGAAAAAAACATATATTTACTCATATATGAATAACAGATACAAATGCAGAATCACTCCTGCTATCATGCTCTCTTCCCACTCTACACACCCAACCACCCAAACACACTCAACTATTTTAGGTGAGTCTTCGGGTGTTTACCTTCAAATTCCAATTTTTTGTTTTGAATATAAATATGCTAAATATTATGGCAAAGTGGAGCACATTCGAAAGATCCGTTTCTGACCACTTCATTCAGAATTACTAAGCACACCAAAAGAGAACTAAAAGTTCATTCCTTTGCTTCTTTATCGTTACTTTCTTTCCTTCTTTTTTTGAACAGCTGCAGCTGCTGGTGGCCAGTAACTTTTCTAGCTATCCTCGGGGCCTGGAAGTACTCCTCATTTTGCTATGTAAAAGCATTGCAGATGTGAAGGCAGACAGAACAAACGCTGTGGAGTTGCTCTTCCCTGTTCTGCTCCTGACGGATAATCAAGGCCATGCTTGTCAATCAAGGGCTCACCAATCTTACTTGGACAACAAGGATCTCCACTTTATCCCAAATTAAGGATTCATTCCTGCACTGCCACTTCCTTCCCTGCCCCATTTCCTTAACATTTTTTCCAATAAATTGAGTTTAAAAGTGAGTGTGATCCAGAAATAGAGTTTACTAGTCTAACTAGTGGGTTAGCTAAAAAAAAATGTACTCATATGGATTTTCGTTATTCCTTCTGCCTTAGGTTTTTTGACCTAGGAACAAGACAATTGTACCGTCTTTTACTCTGTGCTTTCCTCTCATTGCAGATGTTTCTACATAAACTATTTGTTGTAATCACTTATTCATTAGCTCACTTTTTGAAATCAACAACCTGCTTTGTCTTCTTTCTACTTGTCTCTCCCAAAACTGTACAATGAACACCTTTATATTTTTTGCTATTTCAGCATGAAAAACAAACAAACAAACAAACAAACAAAAACAGGATATATTTTAAGGAAAAAAAGAGAAAATCTTAAATGAATTAGTGCCAGATGAGCACTGGGTTGAAGGTATACCTTGAGGAGGTATATAGGTCTTGGACAATTCAGCTGTCTATGAAGAAAAGAAAAAGAAAGCAAACCACTATAAATGCCTGTTGTTACATCACAGTCTGCTCATTTGTAGTCTCTTGAGTTTTGATCCTAATGTAATTGTTCTTTGCTTTTTGTTATAGCTAGGGAAACATACTTTTACTGGGGTTTTTAGTTTATAGGTGTGTTTAAGCATTATTAGTTATTTAAAGTTTCTGTTGACTTTGAATAATAACATTCAACATCCTTGCTAGCCTTGCACTATGGTTTCATTTGCACCTCCTAACTCACAGTGCCACTTTATTTTTTTTCTTTCTTTCTTTTTTTTTTGGAGAGATTTTTGCTATAGGGCGCGTGCGCTTGCCAGAAAGACAGAAAGTGAGAAATCACCCCCCGGGGGGATGGTCATGCACCAATCCCTTCTCCTCCATTTTCCTCTCAGAATCTAAGCCAGTTTGCCCACCATTCCCTACAATTGACTTGCTGATTTAATGACCTGTCCTTGAGTTTCCCCTTCTTTTCAATTTTCTACTGACCATAGGATAACTGCACTCCTTCCCTGCCAATTCTTCATTTATTTCCTTGGTCACCTTTTCCAGGTGAGTTTCCATGTCCAATCATATAATTCCTTTGGTATTCCTTAGACTCTCAACTCTCGTGTGTTTAATTCAGTGACTCCTATTTATACTGATATTCACATGATGTGTAATGGCTCTTGGTTGTCTCGTGTATACATGAGGTCCTCTTTCCCATCCAGATTGTAAGCTCTCTATGAGCAAGAAGTGTCTCTTTCTAATTCTTTTGGATGCCTGATATAGTGCTGTGCACAGGTAGGCATGGAATAAATGCTTGTGAATTAAATTGAATCAATTTAACATACAGCAATTGTGTTATGAGACCTAACTTCTGTTATCTGCATGAAAGATACTACCATGATGGAAGAGATGGATTGTGGGTTAATATGCTGAGTTATTATCTCATTAGACTATAATGCAGTGAGTAAATAAAGCTGCTGTTCATTTCTACTTGGATCATATATGCACTGTGTACTAATAAGATTAGAAGGTGATTTTTCTGCTTGCTCCTGCTCTGCTTCATGCAGGTGATAAGAGATGATAAACTGCTCTCCAAAGACATCATCTCCTGCAGGCAATGTACTTCTAGACAAATGTTCATGTTGTAAATATTCAGGGATGGCAGGCCAAGTTTCAACGTTTCTATAAATGAAAAAAGAAAAGAAAAGAAAAGCTGGATTCTTACACCTAAATGCTCACTTGATTTAAGTTAAGCAGTTTTTCAGAAATGTTAACTATTTTAGTCTCCAGACGGCTGCTGAAAAGACTTCCTTATAATTCCATCATGGCCCCTACACATACACAACCAAGCCCTTTATGTATGCTGCTGGGTTCCATATGAAAAGGAAGAGGCTTTTCTTTCTATTTTCAGAAAAATAAAATCCTAAATGAACTAAGGACCAAATCAGCACTGAAAGAGTGGATGCCACTTCCAAAACTCTTACACAGCTATTCAGCGAATCCACTTGTGCGAAGATAATCTGATGACTGTAGTTGATTTCTGCATTGTTATTTCTCACTTCTCGTGATTACAGCCATAAGAAATATTTGTAAGGTAAAGAAACAAACAAGAATCTAGATTGCGTCTTTTATTCTTTCTGAGAGGCAAAAAAAAAAAAAAAAAAAAAAAAAAAAAAAAAAAAAAAAAAAAAAAACTCTGACAAACACATGCGAAAACTAATACTTATCTGAAAACATTTGTGATTCATAGAAAAAAACGGAAAAATTGACTTTCAATTCATCCCCTGAATTATTTACTGTGGCTTCTGAGAAGAATTCGTAGCTTATACTATACCAAGGGGTTTATATTAACAAAACTTTGACCTGAATTATGTTTTTTGTTTTGCTTTTTGATTGTAGAGTGTGTGCACTCTCTTGGTCCAGGACTTGAACCATACAGCTAGCTGTGTGAGATTCAGTGCCTTAACCTCCATGCCACCTGCTAGCCTTGCACTATGCTTTTTCTTTTTTGTTTTTTAATTCTGATCGATACCTACAAGTCCTAAACCAGAAATATATGCCAAAAGAATAAGTAAGCAATGTTCTCAGCTCTCAATATACTTAAAGACTTGAATTTTTAAGAGAGGTTCAGCCACTTAATCATAGCATTTTCATGAGATACAATAAATTGTAATCATAGCCTTTTATTTCTATCTACTTCCTCTAAGAAGGAAATACCATTGTATGACAGTGTCACTTCATGGAGCCTTCACATGAAATGCCTTTTTTCAGCGTTCTCTTGTATTGGATCACCTTGGTTACTTGATCTTGGATGGTGCAGGTCTGGTCTTGATGACTCTGACTCGGTAGTTGTTTGTTTGCTTTGTTTTGTTTTGTTTTGCCATAGGGCATGTGCACTTGCTGGAGAAAGACAGAAAGAGGAGAAGTCAGAAATCAAGAGGGATGGTCACATCACAATCCATTTTCCTCTCTTGATTTTGGGTATGCACATACACCTGCTGGTGTGGTTTTCAAGCTGCCAGATCTGGAACTAGAACTGTGGAGTTCTAGTTCTGCAGGCCTTAATTACCATGCCAACTGCTGGTCCCTATGACTCAGTAGTTTTGAAGAACAAAAAAAATATGTGTATGAAATACTTGACCTATTCTAGAGAATAATATATTACACATATTTTCTTCATATATATCACCAAGACTTCATACAAATCCACAGGGTGACATAAAATTTATTATCTGGTTGAATATGACAAATTTATAATTTTTTAAAAATAATTTATTTAATTCCATTTGTTGTTATTATTTTTTAATTTGACCAGACAGAGAGAGAGAGAGAGAGACAGGGAAAGGGAGGAAGCAAGTTGCCAGGTCCGAGACTTGAACCGCAGGCAGTCATGTGGGAATCCAGCACCTTTAACCACCATGCCACCTGCTGGCCCCCAAATTTATAAAATTTTAATAGAATAAAAACATAAGAGGACCCCAGAATTCCACCACCTAGAATAACTTACATTAACATTTTAATGTTTTGTTATTTTCTTGTTTTAGATTCACAACAGACTCAATAAGATTAAGTTGGATAAGATTTTTCTAGTTTCATTCTACATTTTCATTTAACATTTTTCCATATCATAAAAATTACTTCAGAATATTTTTAATGTTTATAAAATATTCTTTAATAGAAACATAGCATAAATACTTTAACTATTCTATTGAACATATGAATTGCTTAGTTAAAGATATTAACTAAATGTGAGTCCTTTTAGAATACAATTTTTGTTTAAAAACATTGTTAGTATAGACCTTTAAAACAATATTGTACATTCTAGGCAATTTTGGTCACCTAACCAATACAATTATATTACTTCCTATTATTTAAGAGTATGTCATAGTTCCTATTTCATAGCAATTAACCTTAGAGGGCACCACATTTTTCTCATGATATTATTTTACTTGTGGCTATATAAAAATACTTTTCGATCTGGCTCTGTGGTTAAGGCAACTGAATCCCACATGGTTAGCTACACACTTGGAGTCTTGGAGCTGGTGACTTTAGAAACATACTAGCAGCATATGCCCAAAATTCCAAAAGGAGGGAGAGCTGAAGAAGGATCATGGTGTGAACATTTCCCATGGGGTGCTTTCCCCTCTCCCTCTCTCTCTGACAAGAGAATACATCCTCTAGCAAAGAAAAAAAGAAAAAAAGAAAAAAGAAAAAGAGAAGAAAGTCTTTTCAAGAATTATTTCAGGTTTTTTTTTTTTTTTTTGGGGAGGTTTTGGCTATAGGGGGGTGGGCCTCGCTACAACCTCTTTAGACGGGGAAAGTGACTCTAAAGATAACGTGATTCAGTCCATCTATGTCTCACATGAAGGTGTTGATTAAAAGGTATGCTCTTTGGAGACCAGCAGATGGCATAATGGTTATGTTGCTGGACACCCCCATAGTCGGCTGTGGTTGGAGTCTCAGACCCGGTGGCTTAAAACTCACACCGGGCGCGGATGCGTGTGTGCTCAAAATCCTGAGAAGAGAATGCAGCAGAAGGGATTGCAGCATGACCATCTCCCCTGGGGGTAATTTCTCGCTTTCTGTCTCTCTGTCTCTTCCTCCAGAGAGCATATGTTATAGCAAAAATCTCTCTCTCTCAAAATAAATAAATAAATCATTGGTGTGCTCTTTTAGGTGGGCTATAGATAAGAAAGATGGAGCTGTAGAAAGTGGGAAGAATGTCTTTGGGAAGACTGGGAAGTAATGGGTGGAAACAATGCC